TGGACTAGATGACCTCTAGGGGTCCCTTCCAACCCAAAACATTCTATGATGATTCTATGATGATTCTATGATGATTCTATGATGATTCTATGATGATTCTATGATGGGGACCAGCGGCACGGGGAAGCCGTGGCCACCTCCGGCCTCGCTTTTTCCCTGTTTTATTTTTCCTTCCCCACAGGTCATCAACGCGCAGTCCCTCACGGGCCAGCCGGGCAAGATTCGGACTGTGGTCCAGAAAGTCCTGCTGCAGATGAACTGCAAGCTGGGCGGCGAGCTCTGGGGGGTCGACATCCCCCTGGTAAGGCGGGCAAAACCCCTCGGCGCATGCGTGCCGTGGGTTTGCAAGCGCCGGGGCCTAAACTGTTGCAGTCACGGGCTTCCCTCTGGGGATGCGGATGAACCATCTGCAGAATTGGTTGGACTTGACGATCTTAAAGGTCTTTTCCGTCTTGCAAATGCTATGAATTGGGGTTGGCATCTCCTGTTTTGTGCATGCAATGTCCCTTGCGGCTGGAGGGATCTGGGCAGGGCAGCCTGGAGGTGCCTGACTTATCCTTAACTCCCCCTGACTTTTTTTCTGGCCACCCCCCCGCCCCCCAGAAACAGCTGATGGTTATTGGCATGGACATCTACCACGGCCGCAGCAGAGGGATACGCTCCGTCATCGGCTTCGTGGCCAGCATGAATCAGTACGTGGTGCCCTGGGAGGGAGAGCTTTCCTCCTGCTCCTCCCTGGGGATGCTGGGGGGTCCCATGCCAGCATCGCCGCTGTCTCCCCTTTGCCGGGAAGGGGGCGAAGCCGATGCCTTCCCCAACTGCTGCGCTCAGCAAGGTCTCCACCAGCCTGTTTTTGCTGGGTGTCACTGGCTGCCGGCGCAGGCAGCGGCGACCTTTGCTGTGCCCTCGGCACCGGGAACGGCTCCGCCAGCGCCAAGCCGGGGTCGGTTCCGGTTGCACAACGGCGCCGGTGGACTTTGGCCAGCGAGGTGGGTGCCTGATACTTGTCCCCCTTCCATCCCAGCATCCTCACCAAGTGGTACTCCAGGGTGGTCTTCCAGATGCCCCACCAGGAGATCGCCGACAGCCTGCGGCTCTGCCTGGCCGATGCCCTCCAGCACTTCCACGAGGTGAGGCCAAACCTCCAGCCCAGCGCTATCAAAAAAAGCCCTTCCGTGGTTTAACATCAAAGCAAAGGAAAAACACCCCAAACCTTTTGGCCCGAGTGCATGCAAGTGAGCAAACATCCTCAGCAGCCTTTGGACCTGGATGCGGTGCCCGCAGCCACGCACACCCCAGGAGGCTCAGCCTTATCTTGGGAACATGCAAACCTGCCTCGAGGGTTAGTTTGCACTGGGGGAAGCGCCAGGTTACGCCTCTGCTCCTATCGGCGTCGAACTGCTGAGCCCTGTCCTCTTGTCCCACGTCCCCAGCGTGAGAAAAGCAGCGTGTGATGGGGCAGGGGCCAGGAACCTTCAGCAGCAGGGACCTGCTTTGGGGGTTTTCCCATCCCTCTGCGGGTGCTGGAGAAAAACCCATGAAAACTGGGGATTTGGTGGTCACTAAGCGCTTGCCTGCGGGCAGGATTGGTGCAAACGCTGCTTCTCTCTGCCCTGCCGAAACCTGCTTTGAAATGGATTTGCTGGGGCTGAGTATAATTAGGGACTTTCTGCGAGGCTCGAGGGTTGATAGGATGAATCCACGGGCTGTGAGACCACCGAATGGTCAGCCCTGGAGACCCAGTGGGCATCTAGTGCCCAACTCCTTGCCAGGGCATGCATCTGTCCCTGCCAGCCAGTCCTGGGCGTGGGGTGGGGGGAAAAACCAGTGACCTCTTCCAATTTCTCCTTCCCCAGATGAACCACTGCCTGCCCAAGAAAATCATCGTGTACAGGGACGGCGTGTCCGACAGCCAGCTCGACACCGTGCTCAAGTATGAGATCCCGCAGATGCAGAAGTGCTTCGACACCTTTGAGAACTACCAGCCCAGCATGGTGGTCGTGGTGGTGCAGAAGCAAATCAGCACCAACTTCTACACCCTCATGGCAGAGCAATTCACGTCCCCTCCTCCTGGGACAGTCGTTGACCACACGGTCACCAGCTTGGAGTGGTGAGTGGCAGTGGCAGCGACACTGGCGGCTTTCGGGAAAGCTGCAGTGGGGTGGTTAAAAAAAAAAAAAAAAAAAGTCCTTGTGTGCAAAAAAAATAGTGTGCAAAAAAAAAAAGAAAACCCTGGTGTGCAAAAGAAAACCCTGGTGTGCAAAAGAAAACCCTGGTGTGCAAAAGAAAACCCTGGTGTGCAAAAAAGCCCCCCAAACCCAACACCTTGCCCTTCCTTCCCTCTCAGGCAGGATTTCTTTTTGTTGGCCCATCGTTCTCGCCAGGGCTGCAGCATCCCCACGCGCTACGTCTGCGTGCTGAACACGGCCAACCTCAGCTGCGAGCACCTGCAGAGGTAAGGGCAGGCTTTCCACAGCTCCCCCCCCGCCCCCCCAGCATTCTGCAGCGTGGGGACCCCCCCAAATCCTGGGGATTTTTTGCAAAACAGTCACCTGGAGCCAGCGGGGAGGGCAGCAGGGTGCTGTGCAGGCACTGGGCTGAGGCTGCTCGCTGTACTGGGTTAGCTGGGAGGACTCGACAGTGGGTGAGGGCGAGGGGGCGGGTGGCCTCTGTCTTGCCCCCCCTCTCTTGGGCAAGAACTGATTGCAAGGGTGATGAGGGAGAATCCGTGTCGCCCAGCGCTGGATGAATGCAGCGCCCGGGCAGAGCCTGACCTTTAACTCGTGCAATTGGGAAGAAAACGGCGCTGTGAGCGGGTTTGGCCTCGCAGCTGGAGAGCTGCTGGTGCTGACGGAGCCAGCGCTGCCCGGGGGAGCAGGATCTGGCCCCGAAGCACCGCTCGGGGTGCCAGGGAGCACCGACACCTTCTCCTCTCTCCCTCTCCCCAGGTTGACTTTCAAGCTCTGTCACCTGTACTGGAACTGGCCGGGCACCGTCCGGGTCCCTGCGCCGTGCAAGTACGCGCACAAGCTGGCTTTCCTCTCGGGACAGATCCTGCACCACGAGCCCGGCGCCCAGCTCTGCGACAAGCTCTTCTTCCTATAGCCGACGCGTGGGCAGCGGCGGGGAGAAGGGGTTCGGCTCCCCCCGCTGCTGCTGTTAAGTTTCCCACCAGAGGGACTTTCTTTCCTGAAGTATTATCATATTTTTATTTTGTTTTCTTTCTGCACGTGGTTTCTTAAGTTCATTTTTATCGGTGTTGTGAAAGGATGCTCGGGAGCGCTCCAGCACCACCCTGGGCTCCCAGGATTCACCTCCATGGGAATGACCCTGGAGCAAAACCCTGCTGCTGCTGCGGGGGCTGCCCCCAGCCCCTCTGCCCACTGGTTTCCAGTTCTCCCAGCAAAGGGGTTGGAATGAACGAGCCCCAGAGGTGACGCTGCTCCGGCAGCAGCTCATCCCTGCCCGTCCCCCTGCCCCGTGCAGGTGCTGGGTGTCAAAGCCCAAAGGGTGTTGGTGTTTTCCCCCCTCCCCGATTTCTTGCATTGCCTTCGAGCCAGCTCTCGGTTTGAAATTTTACTTCGGTTTTTCGAGCTTCTGTTTAACGACCCCCATTCCAGTTCATCCGTTTGTGGCGGGCTTTGAAGAGTCACTGTTTTTTTTAAGGAGAAGTCTTTATTCTTTATTTTTATGTTTTCTTCCCTGGGGCTGACAGGGGAGGAGGTTGCTATCCCGAGGGACAAGGGTGCCTTTGAGGTTTCAGCTATTTTGGGCTTTTCTTTGCCATGGTCAAGGGATGGTTGAGACCTCTCTGAGTTTAAAGCTGATCCCCAAAATCACCCGGATTTTACCTCAGCGTGCCCCCAACCCACCCCTTGTGCAAGCACCGGTGGGGATGGGGGTATGGCGGGAGCCTCCCCCCCTCCCTCCCAGCCTCTCCCCTCCCTTTTAATGCAAAAAAGAAAAAAAAAAAAAGTTGAAAATACTTAAATTTTTTTGCTGTAACTGGAGTTTTCCATTAACTTAAATAAAAGCGTTGCTGGCTCCCTCTTGGTGCAGGCTGGTGATGGTGGGCGAAGGGGCCGGGTGTTTGTGGGGATGTCCTGGCCCCCCCCCTCCCCCCCTCCTTTCCCAGGGGGTCCCA